ATCCAAAACAGATAATATTCTTAGTCTATACAAATAAATATGTTGTTAATAAAATACTAAGAGTATAAAATTAAAAAGTAGACTATTTTGAATAGTTTTTATAGAGATTAAGTTTCTTGTTAGCAGATTTCTCTATTATATTTAATATTCAAACTAAAAAGTTATTTTGAGAATCTAGATCAGTATCAAGAATACTAAAAACCAAAAAATACTTCTATATAGCTATAAAATTTACAAGAAACAATTCACTAAGTTTTGTTAACCTCTTAACTTTTTTTAAAAAAATTTTTACAAAAAGTAGATAATTTAATTTATTATCTTCAAAAAATCAACATCCTAATTTTCAAATCAGTTACTATTGTTTAATACTTAAAGGTGTTTATATATAATAATATAATCTGAATATTTATAATCTCTAAATAGAAGATTAATGGACATATTAGTTTTATGTCTTGATATATAGTAATAAACAATATCTTAGACTACTGGTACCCTGACTCTTTTCAATCTCTCTATCTCAAATATCAAAGAATTTGTAATTATATATATATTAGTTTAAATATATTACTTAATATAGTTTGTTGTAAAAACTCTTATATTTAGTTGTATATAATTTTTAAAGACCTAATACAGACTAATAACTGTAACTGTTTAACTCTTTTTTTTTTAATTAGTACTTCTATTCTCTCTTTTTTTTCTTAATTATATATTTTATTATTTTTCTTTATATCTCTGTTTGTTTTATATATAGCTTTTTTTTCTTTTTCTTTTTTATAAAAAGATGTTATCTTATCAGATTGATGATGTTCTATTGTGGAGTAGTGACCAGACATTTATTTTGAATTAGTGAATTCATCTAGTAAGACAGTTGTTTGAAAATACTTAGATGATAAAAAGATACCTTATAAATATTAATTTTGGTTATATATAGTTTATCAAAAAAGTAACTATGAGATATTAGATCTAGATATTAAACTAAATATTTTGCTTCACCAGCAATATAATTTTAATAAAGAATTACTGACAATATTGTCAAAATAAAAAAATATATATATAATACAATTAAGATTTATTGTTGGAGATAATTTTATAATAACCAAAAAGCATATATTAAATAATTATTTTTTTTTTATTTTGATTGTCTTGTCAGGGTTTTTTTATTAAAATCTTAATTAATAGAATATTGCTAATATAATAATATCTTTTCATAAAGAAGTAGAAAAATCAAAAAAATATATTAACACTAATACTAATATTAAAAGAAAAGTAAAAAAGAATAAAAACTAATACTAAAAACAAAAACAAAAACAAAAAGTAAAAGAGAAAAAAAGAAAAAGAAACTGACAAGTTACAATTATAAGCTTGTGTCAGGCTTTAAAAAATTATATATTACAAAATAAAGAAGCTTTATATCTAATTCTATTCTAATAATATATGTATCTATAGCAAAAATCTACTAAAAGAAAGAAAGATAACTCTAAACTAAACTAAAAACTAGACAGAATAGCTAAAATTACACTAGTAGCCTCAAAGTATTGTTTAATAGATCTATGATATTTGAATCATATCATCCTCATACGTTGTCTTTAATTTACCCTTATATGTCTTTAAATCATAACTCTGTACAGTATACTATTTAGACTAATCAGACTATATAAATTACTGAGTCTACTAAAAAGTAAATACTTGTATAGTAATCTTCTATTTTGGATAATCAACAATACTAGTTGTTTTGAAAAATTATATGTTGATCTTTTGAAGAGATAAGCTAAGATATTTACTTTTTGACAAAATTTACTTGAAAAAAGTGATAGACTAACAAGACTTTTCTGTGGTTGTTTTTTGTAAGTTTTATGGTTGTATAGAGATAACCCAAAATTTAGAATATTCTTGGTATTGATCTAGTTATTCTGTATTTCTAAAATATTTTTCTGATTTAGATGCTAAATATAATAGAGGGTCTATTAACCAAAGCTTGACTTCTACAAAAACCAGTTCAAAGTAGACCGCTTTCTAGTTTTATACTTTGATACTTTGTTAACAACATATCTACTTTCGTAAAACCAAGTTTATTATTTACTTCAGCATCTTCTATAGTATTTTTCTGTAGTTTAGTTTTTTGGTTGTTGTTGCCAAGAGATCATCAAGAAGAGATTATATTAAATAATTTTATTTAAAAATTAAATTTTAATTTATTTAATAAAAAATTAATCTTTTTATAAAAATATTATATTAATAATTTTTTAAAAATTACTATTTTTATATTTGTATAATATTATACAAAAGAAAAAAACTAATTGTATATAGGGTGTTTGAAATATAAATATGATTTACAATTAATTTTTATTAAAATATATAATATTTTTAATAGAATTTTACTAACTATAACCAGTGGTGATCATTACCGATATATAATTAGCCAATAAAATTGCAGGATTAGGTGTAATATGCAAATTAATTTGTGTAATCAAAATAAAGATTTTTTTAAAAAAATGCTAATATCTTAAGAATTCGCCTATGAAACTACCTTCGACATTTTAACAAAAAAAATTCTTTGCTAAATTTCACATATATCTAACATATTGCTAAAATCCTAGGCCTTACCCTAACTCTAAAGTAAATAAAATAAAATATTTTTTTAGTTTATCATTATTGGCTAATTATATATAGTAATGATCACTACCAGTTATTTTAAGTAAAAATCTTTAATATTTTTAATTAATATTAGGATTAGGGTTATAGATTAAAATTAGTAAAGAATATAGTTTATAAATAATCCTAGCATTCTTTTGAAAAAATGTATAATATGTAACAATTGGTCAATAGCTAATCATGATTTGGTGTAATATAATATAATTAAGAAGATCCCAAAATAATTTTTTTTAAAAATTACTTATTTTTTAAAAATTAGTATAAAAAACTACCTTTTGTGCTCTAACAAAAAAATTTCTTGTATAATTTTACTACTAGATTCTTTACTATCAAAGTTCTAATATAAACACAACCTTAATATAAATAAATTTTGAAGAATTTCTAACTCATACATTTTTTAAAAAAATGCTAGAGTTGTTATAGTTTTATAGTAAAATTTTGCAAAAAATTTTTTTTCTTAAAGCCCAAAAGATGGTTTTACAATTAAAATTTTAAGATTTACTAATTTTTTATTTTTTTTATTTTTTTTATTTTTGTTGTATAAAAAATGATTTGCATACTGCATTTAATTTTATATTGTAATTGGCTTTTCTATTTGTTTTGTATTTAAACACCCTATATACCAATAGTAATTGTCTATACAAATTATATAATATTAATTAACTTAAAAACTACTATATAAAATTTTACAAAATCTAGTTTAGAAAAACTATAAAGCTATCTAAAAGATAAATAGACAAACAGTAATTGCTACTATATTAAAAAGTAAATTATAAGAATTATAAAACCTCCAGTTATCAAGCTAATATCTATATAGAAGTATTTTTGTTAAAAATATAAAAATACAATAAATATAATAAAAAAAGATATAATATTCTAGCTTTAGTATTAAAACCCTAATATTATTAATAGTAGAATTAGCTATATCAAGTAGATAATATATCTAAAAATAAATTAATTCTAAGCTGAGTTTAATTAGTTGTATACCAATAATTATATTTGTAATTATACATATATAATTAATAAAGCTTTTGCAAAAGATGTTATATCTTAAAAAAAAAACTTTAGATTTTAACTTAATATCTTATTTAGCTTAATATAAATTTTTTAAAAAATATTATAATAATATGCTAATCTCGTGATTTTACCCGGGTTACCCGCGGGTGGGTAACTCGGGTTGAGATATTGCTACCCGGGCGAGTCACCCCGTGGACTTGTATATTGACTTGTATATGTCTACTATCGGAAGGTTTCGGAATAATAAACAGTCAACGAACATAAAAGGTTGCCGCTAAAATTCGGAATAAAGATTTTTGAGTTGATCCATCTAATTTTACACAGGTGACATGGTCTACCCGACGGGTGACCCGTGTGGGAGTTGATTCGGGTGGAGATTTTTTAGACGGGTCAAATCACTACAATTGACCAATCAAATACAATCAAATACAATAGTACGATTCAATTTTTATATTTGAATCCCGGCAATTACGCAATACGTAGTAGATTAAATTTTATGAAATAATCCGGAGGTGACAGTACCCAGATTTTATTTAGAGTTAGATTTAGGGTTAGGAAAGATCATAATAAATAGTAAAATTATGCAAGGAATATTTTTTGTTAAGACTTGGAAGTTAGTTTCTTAGGCATAATTTTGAGTTATTTGAAATTTTTGAGGTTTTTGAATTGTACAATCTGATTGGCCTGGGTCTATCACCGCCGGCGACAAATAGATTCGCCCTAATTTTTAAAGTCAAAAAATTTCGCCCGTATAAGTAAATTTAATTACTATCACATGTTTTCAGTCAGTCAGGGCTGAGTATGGTAAATAATAATAAATAATAAACTTGAAAGCCTGATCCCTTGTCGTCCTTCATATATTCAGAATTCGGCCAAATGGCCCACTTATGAAAACATACATTTAAGATCAATTAACTTATCGTTATGAAAGTGTAGTTTGGTGAATGAAATTCCAATTCACTATCGGTTCTTTGACAAAGTAAAATCTTAAATTTTCGCCACGACAATTATACTAAACCTCAACTGCTAATGCTAGCACTAAACAACCAAGCTAAATAATCCACAAACTGCCCTGGTTTTAAATAAAAACACTTAACGCATAGACAAGCACAAATCTTGTTTGCTTTTTTTTATAATGTACTTCATTAAAGATTATGAACACAAGATATGGCGAAGTAGTAAATAGCGACATTATTTTTATCCTTTTCTTCAAAGGCTTCCTTTCCCATAGAATTCACAAAGGGTGTGTCCTAAGAACATCAACTTTAACGCATTCAGAATAATGTGCTTTAAAATAATTTCATATCTATATTTTTCAGGCAAACCGTATAATGGCTGATATTAGTGGTGTGCCCCATGGCAAACAAATTGGTCCATCTCATTATGGCGCTACCGATATTCCTCTTCCTACAGATGAGGCTCAAACAGTTTATGTTAATCCTAAGAGTTTTGGATATTTTAAATACAAACTACGGGAGGCTTTTGCTGAATTAGTGGGCACTTTTGTCTTTGTCACATTCGGCATTGGTAGCATTGCCCAGGCCAAGCTCGGAGACGGTTATGGAAATTGGACTACAATTTCACTCGGATTTGGTCTTGGGTTAGCTTTGGGTCTCGTTATTTCCGAAAGTATATCGGTAAGTCTATTAACATTAGATATTCTATTAGATTTAAAGAATATTCTGATTGGTGCATCGTAAAATTCAGGGAGGTCATTTGAATCCTGCTGTAACAATTTCCCTAGCTGTCCATCGTTATTTCTCGTGGCGTAAGGTTCCTATTTATATCCTTGCTCAAATCACTGGAGCCTTTTTAGCTGCAGCAGTAGTCTTTCTAAATTATCATACTGCAATTGTTGAATTTGGTGGTGGCAAACTTAGTGTTAAAGGTAGGTAATCCCA